CCTGAAAATAGATTGAAAGACAAAAACGTCCAATTTGAGCATGTTGTGCAGTGAGCTTAGTATTTATCAAATTTTCTAAAATTTTAGTACATTGCAAACTTTTACATTTTTGGTTGAACTAGATTTGAAAGTTTTCATTTTCTTTGTGCATGCAGTTCAAATTGAGGCAATTACAAAGTACTCTTAAGGATTTCCAGATTAATTTTTAATTTATTTTACTTTTAAATAAACAAGGCAAGGCCATGCCAAAATACATGAGCTTTAACAAATTTTGTGAGAACTATTGATGAATTGATAATTTCTGAACATTTTTCAGTTATCTAACTTCTTTAGATCTATCCTTTATAGTGTCTCAAACAGCCAGCAAATTTGTTCATACTCTGTAAATTTTCAACATTTATTTAATTGTTTTGTTTTTACAAAATGCGCGAACACCAAAATTACCAACATTGCATAACAAACTTGCTTGCTGGGTACGTCAACGTGGATACTGAGTGAGAAATTGTGTTCTTTGAGGAAGAATATGTTTCATTTAAAATCCCAGGTTGATTTTATTTTTAATTTTATTAATCGATATAGCGACAAGCACTTTTCAGTTTCCTTTGTGTGGACCCAACACATACTATCGTAAAATTATTGGAACATTGCAATGCACGTGTATGGAAGGATACTCAGGAGAATGTAACTCGTCCCAAGGTATGGATTTATTACTGTCTTTATCAAGATTTTTTATCACCGATCATGAATAAAGAGCATCTCTGTGCAGTTTTAAAACTTTGTTTTTGTTGAGAATCCTTAGCTGTTCTCTGTGCTGTTGCTTCTGTGCAAAGAATTTGCTGCATCTACATTTTACATGTAACCACAAAAATAAGGCTCACAGCCACACATACAAGTTCATCATTATCAATACTATCAAGCAGGAAATCAGTAATAAATTTATGAAAAGCTTTAATAGACCCTTTGCACATGACGTCACAGCTGATGTTCAGCTTCTTCTGGTGGTTAAGGTTATAAATATATAATAGGAAGTAAAACTTTCAGTCATTAGAATAAACTTAGAATATTTCGGAGTTGAGACTTCTATGTTTTGCAATATCTCTTTATTTTCTTTTTTTATCAGTGATCAACTCTGTTAGACTTCGGGGACCAGAAAGTTCTTTTGGCAGAGGTCGTGTGGAAGTATTTTACAATGGAGAATGGGGAACAATTTGTGATGATGGCTGGGATATAAACGATGCTAAAGTCGTTTGTCGACAACTCGGTTATGACTATGCTGTCAGGGCTTTACTAGGAGGTAATGTTCCACATGGCAGTGGAAGAATATGGTTAGACGAAGTTCGTTGTGTAGGAAATGAAAATAATATTTTGAGTTGTTCACATGGTGGATGGGGATTGCATAATTGTACACATGATAAAGATGCTGGTATACAATGTTCAGGTTTGTATGTACATTATTTACCTTTTGTACAAAGATGGTAAACTGAATTATTTGGGTGATCTCCAAAGAATAGTTTGAACATTTAATATGATTTTATAATACTGAAACAAATATTGACAATTACCTTAAGTATAAACACAGCTTCGGACGTAAATTAACCAAATAAACACAACTCGTTCCACGAGTACATAATTAAATATAACCAATTTTATGATTGCCCATAGAAAGATTCGATAATCCTAGAGAAAAAGGGCAGCCCATTGACCAAATTTTCCGTGGACGAATGTGATAATCCTTATATTATCAGTTTGGTTACTAATTTTACATTAATTATGTCTTTTTAAAGCTGCAGGCTGTAGCTTATGAAGATCCATTAAAATTTTTTTGCATATTAAAAAGGAGCATCTCCAAATTTAGACTACAGTGTAACTTTATGTCTTGTAATGGCGTGCTGTCTATCTGAAGAATTCATTTTTAAATTCGTTTTTTACAAACCGTTAAGGCTTAGCATAAGCTATGCCTAGAGAGCACCCGAAACTTATTTCTGAATAATTAAAAAGACGGTTATTTTAAAAATACGATGAAGATTCCCACGTTGTAAACGAAGAGACTATGTGAACAATTTACTGTTTATTTTTGCTTGTTTCAACAATTTATGGGGCAGTGTTGCCATATGGCAATAAAATCAAACGATTAAATGGAAAACCAATGGGGAACATTTGCAAGTTAAAAGGTTAATAAGATATTTGTATTACAAAAAAAGTGAGGATTGATCTAAATAAAAAATTATTTAGACTCATGAAAGTCAAATAGTGTCTATTTGTCCAAAACGTTTTGATATTGTACTCATGTAAGTTTTTATCAATTTTTGTTACTAATTTAATTCATTAATTTCGCCTAAGAAGTTTTTACAATGGCATCTAACATATTAGGATACTTTATATGTATAAATGTAACTTAGAATATTTCGGAGTTGAGACTTCTATATTTTGCAATATCTCTTTATTTTCTTTTTTTATCAGTTATCAACTCTGTTAGACTTCGGGGACCAGAAAGTTCTTTTGGCAGAGGTCGTGTGGAAGTATTTTACAATGGAGAATGGGGAACAATTTGTGATGATGGCTGGGATATAAACGATGCTAAAGTTGTTTGTCGACAACTTGGTTATGACAATGCTGTCAGGGCTTTACAAGGAGGTTATGTTTCTTATGGCAGTGGAAGAATATGGTTAGAGGAAGTTCGTTGTGTAGGAAATGAAACTAATATTTCGAGTTGTTCACATAGAGGATGGGGATCACATAATTGTAGACATACTGAAGATGCTGGTGTTCAATGTTCGGGTTTGTATGTACATAATTGGAAATTTTTCAACACAGATTCACCCCCCTATTTACATAACTTCTTTGTCGGTCACGCTCTACTGCTGAGCATGTTAGGTCACAAACCATGAATATTCTCACATATATGAATATTCAACCCTCCCAATCAATGTTCTAGTTTTGGACTTAGGCGTAGCCAACGATTTGGTATTTAGTCTTGTTTTGTTGGTTTTTCCGAGTTGATTTACTAAGAAATCCATAAATTTGAAAATGAACATTCCTTGATGGAACAATGAATAAGGCTTCATTAAACAATTTTATCAAAATTCTAAGGCAAGATGTAACATCTCCGAATACCGCCACTATGCATATCAAGATATTCACATCAATCACGACAAGCTTGGATCAAATATGATTTTTCCACTTTTTGTAAAAACTTTTTTTAAAGGATTTATTGTGGGTAAGCCTTCGAGCTTGTTTGGTATGGATGATACGCTTTAATTTCACATAAATTTGTTAGTCGATGCATTTTCGTTTGCAAATTAATCCAGCATCCCGAATTAACAAACTCAATTGACTTAAGTTTGTTTAAAGTGAACATTTTATGTGGCACCAACATAAAATTGGTATTCACTTAATTAGAATTCAATATATAAGTAAAGAGAGTGAAACGCTGTTCTGATTGGTCAATAGCTGTGTTTTCATTAGTCTCTGCAAAACAGATCTGAGTTCAACCCATCAAATTAATAAAATTGCAAATCGATCATAAATGCATTTTAGGGGTAAAGTTAAAACGTCAGTTATCAATTTGTCAGTTTCACTTTATTGTTTCTTTATAAAAGGAATAAATGATTTTTTCGTGTTTGCACTGGCTTATGCACAGGGGTTAAACTAGCACTTTTTAATGTGGGGATGAAATTGCCCTGCAAAGACACAAGATGCCCTGCAGATCATATAGATTAGTACTTATTCAACAATAAAATATTGTGATGATTGAACAGATTTTCGCTACATATTTTTGTAATGCATATTGTATTCTTGTGACAGAACGCACTTTAGTGTATTATTAAATCTTTAATGGCATTTTTCACATCCTTGCAGTTGCCCAATTTTTTAAAATAACATTTAAGTCAACATTGTCCGTAAGATCTTTTTCACATGCAAGAACGATTAAGTCATTTAATCGCGTATCTTTCTTTGTGCATCTCAAGCAGTTTTTGACAATCATATACTTGCTGAAACACCTTTCATCTTTTGCCACGGACACTGGAGCGGTCAGCAATAGTTGATACGCCTTGCACCGTTGGAAAGACGTTTTGTGATTGAAAGCAAATAACGCAACGTCTTAAAGGGATTTGGGTTCTGATTTAAGTTGTGACGACACAATATTATTAAAATTTCCAACTCAGACAGCAGTATTTCTGCATCAACATCTTATACCACCGGTGGAAAGACTACACATTCCATTAACTGTTTCAGCCATCGGCCTTTCTAGCGGCATCTGTAAGCTCTCTCCAAGAAGTTTTATCTGGTTGATGCAAACTTTAATGTTATCGGTATACTCGGTAATAAGTGAGTCTAGAACCAAGTAGATTTCTTTCGGTACAAATCTTTAAAGGTTTTTCTGTTGTTATTTCGGAATGCTCACCAATTCGTTTGGGTGACTTTCTTGATCGATGATGACGAGTGTATTCTGCCATTACGTCTATTCCTGAGTGCAAGCCTGAGTGCAAGCCACATCAAGAAGAATCAACATAATTTCTTTGTTCTTTTCTTCATCTGCTCTCTCTTGCATCAATATTTCCTTCATTTTCGCATTCATCATTACATCAATATGGCCAGTTGTTATTGAGAAACGATCAAAATCAGCCAGAGTAGCTTGATGGGACTTGCTACTGAAGTGTTTATGAAGTTTTCCTTCATAAACACTTCAGGAAGAAAGATTAATTTTTGGAGTGTATTTATTGTTCTTTTACTTTTCGTTGCAAAAAAATGACGTGCTTCATCTTTCTATTGCTACCAAGGAACAATACTATGATTATGACAATGAATGAAACTGTTTTGATTTGAGTTTGGTAAGACTTGGCAAACACAAGTAGTATTTACGGACAAAATTTAAAACTGGCCAAAATTTGCGAAATTTTTCCCGTTCAGATCATGGATAGGGTTTTCCTATATTCCTTGATATAGACTGAAAGCAGAAAAGCGCTTTTCTAAGAGTTAAATTTCATGAAATTTTATAGGCTATGAGGAAAGATCCTAGTGATGGGGAATCATGTCAAAGAAATACACTAAAAACCTAATTCTAATCGAAGATGCTTTTCGTAAAAAGTGTCGTGGAAAATTTGAAAGCTTATGTAGAAAATGCTGTGTGTTTGACATTTTTATCCATTGTTGAAATGTATCTGTAACACAAAACTACGTGTAAACAAATTTTAATCAACCATGTTATCATATAAAGTAAATGTACATATTATCATAATCAATAAAAAAAAAGTAAAATGATAAAGTTTCATTTCTGCTAAGAATAAATATTATTGACAAATCAAATGATTTACTGAATTACATTATCTTTGACAATTGACAAATTAAGCCGTAAGATTTTCTTTTGAAGTTACATAAAGTTATTGCGTGGATTCCGCAAGACAATGCTGGCGATTGCTACCTACCATGCCGCTTGTACTGCCCACCAACCAGAGATGACCGCGATTGCATTAAAATAAAATTAATAAAATCAGTTTATGATGTGTTTCCAAAGGAGAAGCAAACCTCGACTAGCTTTGTAATTAATAGAAATCTTAAAATCAATCTATTGTAAATCTTGACATTTAGTTTTTCCGTTGGGACTTGTTAATCCTGTAGATTGATATACCAATAAATTGATGCATTGTAGGAATCAGAAATGTCTAGAATATGATATCGAAATAAAAATTAAGAATCATTTTGTCTCACTTAAAATGGATTACGATTTTAGAAAATGACGTCAGATATTGCATTCATGAATTATTATGTTTCCAATCATTTATGATTTATCAAACATCAAGCACAACATAAAGTTCCATTTCTTCAATTGCAATGTTTATTATTATAAAATGAATGCAAATTATAAATTATTAGTGAAAACATTTCATTTTTTTGAACTTTTTCTTAGTACAGACTACAGCTAAAATGAAGTGTTAATCTTTCTCATGACATATATCAGTGAAGAATCATAACCAGATCAGTACGGTATCGCTCAGAAAGTTTTGGTAATTAAGAAAATGTACTTTATGTAATGTTAAAGTATCGTTTGCTTGACATCATTTCATATTATAAAATAAACAAAATGTAACACGTGCGATGATTGGTTTAGACCTGTGTTTGCATTAGTCTGCGAAAAACGATCTAAGCTCAACCAATCAAATCAATCAATCAATCAAAGAGAATTTGCAAATTGATCATGACTACACGTTAAAAGAATATTATAACGGTTTTTTGTTTTGCATTATTGTTATTTTTTTAAAAAAAAAAGATGATTTTCGTGTTTGCACTGGCTTATGCAAGTGTGTCTGGGGTAAAAACTCTTGAGCATGTGAAACCCTCGACATTCTGTCTCGGGCTTGCACTGATCTGCTCTCGAGTTCTCCCAAAGGTATCCTCGGATTGCATAAGCCTGTGCAAACACATGCAGTAAACATCTTTTATTTGTTAATTTGTGTAAGAATTACTTCATTTGTAAATAACATCCTTGCTTTATTAGAGTAAATATTTACGAAATGCTAAAACGTCAATGATTTTCGCAGAATCTGTTTACAATAGACTATATTTACTATCTTAGATCAAAACATGAGACATTTTCATTTCATTATGCCTTAGTAAAGAGTTTAACGACTTTTTTTACCCTTTTTTTAAGAAAGAACACTTATAATTTGATCAAAACTTTTTAACCTTCGACGTTAGGTCCTTACACCTCAAAAACATAACGACATAGCGACATGATTGCAAATGGTGTTATAACATTTAATTAAAATACATGGAACGCTACTTGTAATACAAAACCCTGATAATTTTTTGAAGCCGTGATTTTATTACAGAAACGCGAGATTTTACCCCTAGACACGCTTGTAAAGTCGATCAATTATTACTCCGTGCGAGAGTCTCAAAACACTAAGCACGCGTGTCTGGGGTAAAATCTCGCCTATCTGGTGTAAGATTTAGGCTTTTCGCTTCAATTATTAGCTTTAGGTAGCACTCCATGTATTTTAGTTCTATGTGTTATAACGACTACCATTGGTAACCTGGCAAACATGTCGCTGAGTAGTAACAACCTAGCGTCAACGACGGTGTGTTACACACATAGCTAGCTACCTAATTTCCTGGAAGTGTTATCTTGCCTATATTGAATTTGATGGTATATGCCTAAACACAGGCTAAAAAATAGTCAAATAAAACAATGTGCAAAGTTTGTTTCTCCGTAATGTTTTTGATGAACGTACTAAAACTACATTAATTTACAAGGTCAGTTGCGTCGATTTGTAATAACTCTTTTTCTATCTTTTTCATTCTCTCTTACATTGATAGTCCAGCTGTTAATGACAAAATTCTTCACTTGAATGATACAAATATGAAACTTTCTCACATTCTTACTATGCCTAGTAACACAAAATTTTGATATAGGGCCAGCCCATATTTTACATTTAAAACGAGTTCTGCGAATGTCGTGTTTGATGACGTCGTCGGTAGTAAAAAAAAATAAAGTTCAGAGAAATCTGCAATTTCCCTGTATATTCTTATACAACAGCTACAGACGATAGAAAAACTATATTACAACTGTTGCTTTTGAGCAATACATTCTGAAATATTCTACATTAAAAGTGTTTTAAAAATGCTGACTCAGCACTTTTCTTTAGTGCTATTGCTCTTTCTTAAATACATTAGAAAAGCGCCTAACCAAGAACAGTAATATTAAAATAATTTTAATGCCCTCATGTTATTGACAATCACCCCCACAATTACACAAATGAGTACAAACTAAGTGTGCTTTGACGCATGTACAACGACTAGAACATGAACTTTTGCATCCGCAACGAATAAGTTCATAACAGGCATCTTTAACTTGAGGGAGATTTGTCCACTTTGGTAACCAAGAAGTTTCATCACGGTACCAACCCCCAACCTGACGGAGTTGGTATAACCTGCTCTTTCAAGCAGCACTGCCCCCAGAAAAATCCACCTTGCAACAATGCACGCTTGGTGTGCTGAAGCAACGCTTCTTGGGTTGGTGGAATGTTATCCAGTGTTCTGGACTTTTTGGCAAACAACTCTTGTCTAGCTTCATTGACTCTGGTGAGATTACTTGTACGATCGTATAAGAGGACCACATATCGCTCAATCACTTGCAAAACATTATATGAATCATAATAGGGACCTTATTTGATAGATAATACATGCCTTTGGCGGTTTCTGAATTACCTGGAAGGACGAACAATCAATCCTTTCTGGCAACAAATTTAGCTCTTGCAACGCTAATGTTAGCTCTGGAAATACATTCCATACATCCCATGCAGTTTTCTTTCCTCGACCTCCAAAAAACAGTATCACACCCCGTAAAAGCGTGAAACAACGGTAGAACAGATGCCTTGTCAGGTCCGATAGTCGATGCAATTTTATGCGCGGGAATATAACGCGAGTGCTTTCCTGTGCCATAAAGAATCCATAATTCTTCTGCTTTGATATTTTTCACAATTGAAATGGCCAGTATCAATACGTCAGTGTCATTTGTTCTTACAACAATCCTCTGGTGGCGGCAGTCACTTGCATCTAACACGTGCACCATCAATCGTGTGTCAGCCTCTTCATGATTACATGGTTCCAACATTAATACTTCTGTTCTTTTAGGGAAGCACAAGACTTTTTCTTCAAATGTACTGTAAATTTCTCTTCCTTCTGGAATCTGCTAGGAAATAGCTTTCTGCGCTAAGAAATTGAAAAGATCCATTTGGTTGGCATCTACGCGCAGGAAGCCCTTCCAGTCAGTAGGGATACGTGTTGTCGATGAAACCTTGCGGCGTTGACCAAAGCCTCTCATCTCCCGTGCGTTTTTTTTCAGCGAAGCCACTTTGTATACATCCCACACTAAATCAATTCTTTTAGCTGATTGAAATTGCTTTAACACATAAGGAATGAAAACAAACTGAGCGTACTCTTCGAACGTTTCCCAAGTTCCAGGTGAAATCATTTGAACAACAACAGCCCCATCCAAAATAATAACATCGGGAGTTGGTGACTGAACTTTGGTAGTCGGCTCGATATACTTTGTCAAGTCTGCTTTATTACCAGTACGCAAACTTCCTGCTTGTGAGAGAGATGGTGGCCATGGTTGGTTCTCATATTTAAAGAAATCATCGAGATCACCACTTCGATTTTGAATGGCTATATACAATCTTGAAAATAAAGCACAGTCTAGTTTCAGAGTTTGTATATTTACTTTATCATTTCACGAAACTCTTTTTATTCCTGTTTTAAACGTTGGCAGATTATTTTTTTTCAACGTTTCAGTAATACTCTTGCTTCTCTCAGCAAATCTTTCTTTAACAAATGCTTGATATTGTTCTTCTCCAAAGGTTACAACATTCTTCACCGTGTCAACAACGGAACTGTTCATCACGTCATTTGTGTGGATGGCAAATAGGTCTTCGCTCTCTTCTACAAAAGGATTTCCCATCGCTTGAAAATTGGAGACAACATTTGAGACATCTTTATAAAATTCTCTTTGAATGGATGGAGTTTGCTCATGGTATAGCTGACTGTCTACATGTGTACTCATCTCGAATTCCCTAATTATTCGTGCAATTTCTGGACCTGCAATCATCCATCTCCTTAAAGCTGAAAGGTTTTCGGTTAGTCCCACAGAACCACCTTCTCTCTATACCACTGCATTAACTTGCTCGTGAGCATGATCTAATGCTATAGCTGAAAACTGTTTCTCCGTTTTATGCACCACGAGCGAGCCCTTGGAGAACTGGTTAAAGACGTCAGGATGTTTGAATGGAAGCTCCGACACATCACGAATATGGACAGAAAGCCATCTTGCATAATTAACATTGTCCAAAGCAAACATCCACGGGACAAGTTGCTTAATTGACTGGAAGTATAAGGAGAAATTAGCTTCTCTAAATTATCGCACTAGTTGTAAACAGAGTAATTCTAGTTCCAAAACTATGGTCCAATACAGAAACTGTGGATGATCCTTTGACATATCTTCTTTCCAAATGTGGAATTCTTTAGCTTCTCCATTGTCAACTTTCATGACATACTCCTCATAGGCATCTTGTTGTAGGTAGTAAAGACTGGCTGCTGTAACTTGATGTGCGCGTCTTGTTCTTGCCACATGATTGCAAGCGATGAATGACTGTACAACACCTTGGTTAGCTATACATGCGTTAGTAAAAGTTTCGGTCCAGCCACTCCCATCAAGCCATTTTCCTAGAACTTTAAAAGCCGTCATCTCAATGTGTCAGCCACCAAACATTACCACAAATTTATCTTCTCCATGACTGTTTGCAAGAGTC